TGTCAAATAAATAGATTCTTGAAATCCCCAAGGCCTTTTTAAAATTTTAAAATTTTAAAATTTATTTTATTAAATATTAAAATTTAAATTAAGAAATTGATTAAAATTTTAAATTTTGAATTAAGATTTTAATTTTTAAATATAAATTAAAATTTTAATTTTTATAGAAATCGAAACTAATATCATTACTCTCTTAATTAATTTATATAAAAAATTATAAAAGTTGATTTTAAATTAATTAATTAACCAATTAAAATTATTTTATGTGTCAATAGTATTAAAATAAATATTAATTTTATAATTTTTTATATAAATTAATTATAAAAAATTATATTTATTATACTTTTAATTTATATATTAAGATAGAAATTAGACAAATACTATATTAATTTTAACATAAAAGTCAATGATATTTTTCTTTACATTAGGTGGAGCAACATGATAAGGGAAGGAAGTTCGATTCCGTTGGATGGTATGTTCAATTCTTTTCTTTTTAGAAATAAAATAAATAAAATTTTAAGCGAATTATATCAATCCTAGAGCTTACATCCTAATAGCAAAAGTTATTAAAAATCTCCTTAAGTCTTGTGTTTGAACCCTGGAGGTGGTAAATTTAAGGAAAATTTTTCAACAATTTTAAACCATCCGGTTGAATGGTTTAATGATTTACACCAATTTAAATGGTTTTACGAGTTTAAAATAGTTCAATCTTTTTATTGGTTTAAATACTTATCGATTATAGTATTGAGTATGGGTTCAATCTCTTTTATAAAATTTTATATAATATAGGAATTTTGTATGGTATAAGTTAAAAGTGCATTTATTCACATTTTCACCACTAATTTGTATGAAAAAGATAAAATATAACTTTAGTTTAATCAATCATTTAATTAAATTATTACACATGATATTGATGTTAAAAATAAATTTATTTTTATTATTTTTAATATAAATTAATAATAAAAAATATAATAAATATACTCTTAATTTATGATCTTTATCATATAGATTAAAAGAACTCTATAATATACAAGCTACCAAGTTCTTCCTAACTTTTTCTTACCTCACAATTAAATCAAGGAGTCCAATCCATGTGTCTAAAGCAAAGCGAGGAACTTTCAAAGCCTAACTGGAAAGCAAACACGCTCTAAATTATTAATTTAAGTTGACCCCAACTTCAACTCAAGTAAACGATTAAGCCATATGAACCAACTCACTAGCATTTTCTTCACCAATAAGTCAATCCAATAAGTCCATAAGTCTCTTTAAACAACCCTTCTAATCCATATTGACCATAAGCCTAAAGCCATGCAATTTGTATACAGCTTCTTTTCACGCGTAATCGTGTATCACGCGGACAATCCACCAAATTGGTCAACAAGTCCTTGCCGGTCCCACCTTAAAGACACATCAATTGTTTGAGTCTATTTAAACATCCCTTTAACCTATACTGACCGTAATCCTAGACCCATGTAATTTGTATGAAGCTTCTTTTCATAT